ATCATGATGATGGCGTGGACATGATGATCAAGTGCTTAGACTTGGAAAAGAAGAAAGAGAAAAACAAAAAGCTCAAGGCAAAGGTGAAACTTAATAGGAGCTTTTTGGTTTGGTAATCGGGACACTTAGCGAGTGTGATCACATTTAGGATAGATGGTCATACTATTAAGAGGGGAGCTCTTATCGAACAACTCGATCATCTAGTGTCACTAGGTGTTGGAAAACTTGCATATGCATTTTAGGCCTAGTGCATTTTCGGTGAGAAAGTGATCATTCATGAAAATCAAATGAATTTGATGCTTGTATGGTACCATTATTGCTTCTATGCTTGACTTGATCTAGTGGTAGCATATGACATGTTTGTGGGCTTGTGAACCTAGTGTTTGATCTAGAAAATGAGCTACAAGTGTTTAACTCAACATGGTACAAGATAACCCTTATTTGGAGGTATGAAGAAGCTTGTCCTTGGATCAAACCGAGTTAAATATATTTGGCAAGTGTTCTAGATTGGATCAATTTTAGGAAAATGATCCTCACCCCATTGATTGACATTAATAATCTTAACCTATCTAAAATTGAACATTTGTGGTCATTGATAACAAAGGGAGGAAATTGGCACAAAGATAAGGTTAAATGACAAAGGGAGAGAACTTTGACATAGGGGGAGAAATATGACAAAGTAAGGGGATCAATTAAAATTTTGAGCACACAAGTAGGGGGAGCAAGCTCATAAACTTGATTGGTGTATTTGAATGTGCATTTTATATGTTTGCTTGTATAGCATAAGTTTTTAAATTAATATTCCATGCTTGTGTGGTGGATGCTAGTTATAGGTTTGATTAATGAAATGAAAAAGTGGCATGCATAGGTTGAGTAACTAGACTTGAGTTTATTTTAACTAGATCTTTGCTTCTATTGTTGATCTCACGGGGTATTCTAGTTTTTATGGATGTCTAGTTACCAATGGTGTTAAGGATGGTATATTTGGTGCACTCCGATTGGTATCACGCTTCAAAGGTCCATCTCTTATACCTTAGCATTATTTGGTAGACGACTCAAATCTATGCATATGTGCAAGCTTCAATCTAAACTCTTAGCACATATGTAGGGGGAGCTAATGCTACCAATTGGGGTTCATGAAACTTGTCCATATCCTTTTACACATGGTAAATATGCTTGGATAAGCAACATGGATTCAATTGAATTTCAATTCATATCTTTGTGAAAGGGTTGTCATCAATTACCAAAAAGGGAGAGATTGAAAGCTCTAATTTGGTTTTGATGAATTGATAAAACCCTAAGTGCTAACCTAGTTTATCAAAGTGATCAAGAGATAGGTAGCACATTCCAAGTAGTGAAGCAAATGGTGAAGATCATGATGATGGTGTGGACATGATGATCAAGTGCTTAGACTTGGAAAAGAAGAGAGAGAGAAACAAAAAGCTCAAGGCAAAGGTGAAACTTAATAGGAGCTTTTTGGTTTGGTGATTGGGACATTTAGCGAGTGTGATCACATTTAGGATAGATGGTCGTACTATTAAGAGGAGAGCTCTTATCGGACAACTCGATCATCTTGTGTCACTAGGTGTTGGAAAACTTGCATATGCATTTTAGGCCTAGTGCATATTCAGTGAGAAAGTGATTAACCTTTGAAAAATGATTGTGAAAATGCTAACACATTGCACGTGATGGTGAAACACTTGGAGTGTTAGCACATTTGCAAAGATGATGAAAAAGGTGAAGAAAAGGAGGCATTGCCGGGCTCGGGGTGCTACCACGGGGGCATCGCCATGCCCTGTTCGGTGCACCGCCACCCCTGTGGCGGTGACCGGCAGAGGAGGCCGAGAGTGGGGTGCACTGGTGGGGCACCGCCACCATGTCCGGTGGCCCCGCCACCCCTAGGACGGTACCCACCTGGACCCCGCAGAGAAGAGGAAGAGTGAGGCGACCACCGAAGCAACCGGTGTGCACCGCCATGCGCAGGGCAGTGCACCGCCCCTGGCACTGGCATGGGTGTCCGGTGGCACTGCCATAAGAATCTAGAGAGCGGGGGAAAACAGGGAGGTCACCGCCGCGGGCACAGCCACCCTGAGGGCGGTGCACCGCCTCTTTTCTCCAGAGACTTGGTCTCTCGGGCAGATTGGCCGGGTGGTCACCGCCACCCTAGGGGCGGTGCCACCGCTACCCTGTCCGGTGCCCGACGGCTAGTTTTTAGCCATTGAAAAGTGACCGTTGAGATGGGCACCGCCATGTCTGGTGCCAGGCACCGCCGTATCCGGTGCCCTCGTAGAAAGCTGCTCCAAAGGGGTAACGGCTCTATTTGCTTGTGAGCTTGTAAATAGAGCTAGTGTCCGGGCTTGGCCACTCTCTTGGCACTTCTAACAGCTGCATACATCCTTTGAGAGTTATGCACACCACTCCACTCAATTACACACTTTATTTCATCATCTTGAGTGAGATTAGAGAGCCTCTAGGGCATTGCTTAGTGTTCGAGCATCTTGTGGCACTAGTTGGGCATTTTAGGCTAGTGGAGTTCTTGTTACTCTTGGTGTTTTTCGACACCTAGACACCCCGGTGATTGGTGGATCGTCGAGCGGAGGAAGGTGATTGTCTCCGGCTCTGATCATTGTGATTGTGAGGGGTTCTTGTGCCTTCCCCAGCGAAGCGCCAAATGTAACTCTAGTGGATTACGCGTGGCTTGTGGATCCTCATCTTATGTTAGTTGTGCGGCACCCGATTGCGGGTTTGGCGTGTGATGCCAATTAGCACGCGAACCTCCAAGTGAGTGAATCACCACAACGGGGACTAGCTTGCCGGCAAGCAAGTGAACCTCGGAGGAAAAATCATTGTGTCTTGATTGTCTCCTTGGTATTCATTGGTGTTCATTGATTAATCACTTGCCACGACGGTATACCTCTCTACCACTCTCTTGTATTATATTGTGCCTTTACTTGTGTAGAGCTTGTGGTAGTTGAAACTAGTTAGTGTAGCTCTTAGTTATAGTTCTCTTGCTAGTTTGCTCACCTAGGTGTAAATTAGTGACTTAGCCTTGTTGTGATATACTAGAGATCATAGATTTTAGAATTGGGTAGGTGGCTTGTAACACAAGTGTAGTGCTAGCGCAAAATCCGTTTCGCCATCTTATTTACTAATCACTTGCCTTAGTGTTATTGTAGAATTTTTTTAATAGGCTATTCATCCCCCTCTAGCCATTAGGACCTTTCACACGCACTGGCTGAACCTGCGCTGAGGACTGCAAGAAGTAGAGCGAGAATGGCCCACCGGGGCCGCGCAACTGCCCGCCCGCTGGTATCTCCCCCCACTGCGCAGCATCGAGGTCCGCGTCGACAAGCCTCTATTCATCCAAGCAGCAAGCACATGCTACATTGAAAGCGCATGTTGCAAGAGTATGTTTTAAGTGTTTTAGATGCTTCAGAGGTATGTTGCAACTATTGTATATTGATGTTGCAAAAGTATATCGGGATGTTGCACATGTTGTAATGGCTATAACTATACACACGTATGTTTTAAATGTATGTTCCAAATGTTTCATCTGTTTCAGACATATGTTGCAACTTTTTTTTATGTTGCAAAAGTAGATCTGGATGTTGCATATACATGTATGTTACAAGCATATGTTTCAAGTGTTTCATGTGTTTTCATACGCATGTTTGCAAGTGTTTCATCTTAATGTTGCATATGTTTGCAATGGTTTTCAAGTGTTTTTCAGGCATTTTCCACAAGTATTTTAGACACTTATTTCAAGTCTTTCCTTTGCTTTCAGACATGTTGCAAGTGTTGCATCTGGATGTTATAAAAGTAGATCGGATGTTGCATCTTTCTTCTCACTTTCTGCTGCCTCGCCTTAGTATTTCCTCCTTCCGGCATCAGCTGGGCATCCACCGCCCCCCTCTCTCTCTTTCTCGATGCTGGTGACGTTCGAAGCGACAAGGACATGTGAAATGACGCGGAAAACAGCCACAGGCGCTGACGTCCGAACATCATCCGTATGTCCAGGTGCTAGCAAGCCCGCTGCTGAAAGGCAAAGGTAGAGGTAGGAGGTGTCAGTTGCTACCGAGTCATTATGATATTGCCTGTAACATTCTATTTTTTATAATAAAAATCACATGGACACTCGTAAATATACCCACGCTCTCCGTTTCCTAATTTCTGTTGTTACTACTAGGCTGATGTCAAAGTCAAACCTTTATAACAACTGCCCATATTAGCTTTTAAAACATTCAGTTTTTTTGAAGATGCTAAGATGTATTAACTTAGTTTTCAAATATTCCTTTAACAGTAAATCTATTGCTGTTTTTATATACTACTCCCTATATGTCCCAAATTATAAGATATTTTGATATTTTTATATTTATAGCTTTTACTGTATATTTAGACATAATATATCTCTATGTGCATAGCAAAAGCTATGAATCTAGAAAATTTAAAACGTCTTATAATTTAAAACAGAGGAGTATTAAACAAAACATAGACAAAGCTATCCTTCGGTGACGGTGTCACTTTTCAAAACTATAAAAACGATGCAAGGTAGTATTGGTCAACAGCTGCACGTTTCGTTCCTCGGATCCTGCTCGCTTCAGATCTACGCAATAAATGCAGTCGATAAAAGATTTACCCACGAGCTGACCGGGCTTAGATCTAAGCCAATTGTAGTCACATACTCACATGTTGCAGTAAAAAACGCCATGTATGGACAGCTCAAGGCATCTATTTTCACACTAGGATTATACAAAAATAGAAGCGCGGTTTACTCCCCGGAGTAGTTCAGTGAACAGACACACTTGGATTCAGATCTACAGCACCTTCCTGCAAGGCTGCAAGGCAAAGCACAGTGTCAGTGCTCCTTCTACTTAAGTGAGCTTAACTAACAGCTCGCCGCCGAGCACTACTGAGCTCACCAAGTCAGCAGCAGCTAATCAGCTAGCCAGAGCCTCGAGAAGCTTAGCTAGACGACGACCGCCGGACGGCCGGACAGCAGGATGAAGCCTCCGTCTTCTCCTGGAGCTCCGTCGTCGTCCCCACGCACCTCGCTTTTCCTCCTCCCTGGCATCCTCCTGGCTGCGGTCATCTACCTGGTCCTCTTCCCCAACAACTTCAGGCTCCCGGGGATGTTCGGGTCGTCCTCGTCGTCGTCATGCAACGACAACAACGGCGCCTCGGCGACGTCGGCGGTCGGCCGTCTCACCGCCGGAGGCTCTCCTGCGGAGGAGGCGGTGGACCTGCGGTTGCTGATGGGCATCGTGACCACCCCAAGCACGTACGAGCGGCGCGCGCTCCTGCGTCTGGCCTACTCCCTGCAGCCGCGGCCCGTGCGCGCGGTGGTGGACGTGCGCTTCGTCATGTGCCGCATCGAGCGGGAGGAGGACCGAATCCTGGTGGCGCTGGAGATCATCGCGCACGGCGACGTGGTGGTGCTCAACTGCACGGAGAACATGAACGACGGCAAGACGTACGCCTACTTCTCGGCCGTGCCGGGGCTTTTCGCCGGGGAGCGGTACGACTACGTGGGCAAGACCGACGACGACACCTACTACCGGGTGGCGGCGCTGGCGGAGTCGCTTAGCGGGAAGGCGCGGCGGGACGCGTACCAGGGCTACCTGACGCCCTGCCACTGGCTGCCCGAGAAGCAGTACATGTCCGGGATGGGGTACGTCGTGTCGTGGGACGTGGCGGAGTGGATCGCCGCCACGCCGGAGCTCCGGGACGACCACAACGACTGGGAGGACGTCGACTTCGGCGGGTGGCTGCGCAAGGGCGGGAAGTACAAGAACGTGTACAACGAGGAGCCGAGGATGTACGACTACTGGGACAGGGAGATGGCCACCGACGTCAACTGCTTCCGGCACGAGCACATCGCCGACGCCGTGGCCGTGCACAAGCTCAAGGACCGCCTCAAGTGGGCGCGCACGCTCCACTTCTTCAACGCCACCCAGGGGCTCAAGCCGTCCAAGCTCTATCATGTTGACTTGCAAAACGTCTACCACGTCTAGGTGGTAGAGAGATCGATCTACCATACATATATGTTGTCAAGCATACGTTGTTCTAGATTTTTAGGCAATAGCTATAGTTTATGTTGCTGTACTGTGTGAGAGGCTGAGAACTAGCATTGAATTGGAGGTAAAACGATCTCAGCATATATACCTGTCACTGCTACAGAATGGACTTGTTATCCCAGACGATAACGGCCTTTAGTCCCGATTACCGCGCCGGGACAATAATCCCGGGACTAAAGGTGCCACCTTTAGTCCTGGGTCATTGAGCCGGGACAAAAGAGGGATCTTTAGTCCCGGTTGGTGTTACCAACCGGAACTAAAGACCCTCCAACCGAGCAAACGTGGCCGCACCCTTTAGTCCCGGTTGGTAACCCTAACCGGGACTAAAGGTTCCTTTTCTTTTTCTTTTTTTTTTGTTTAATTTGTTTTCAGTTCAGTTACACGTATTTGTTTAATATATAATATGTTTTTATGTACGTATTCTACGCTGCTAATATAAATACACGCACGCATATAATTACATCTAATTCTCATCTCGAGCATTATTATATTCGAATAAAGTATGAACATATATATATTATAGATATATATATGTATATATACAACATTTTCATAATCTTGTTCTAAAAAATAACGATATAAATAAACATTTAATTTACATCATTTATTCCTTAGGATCAAAGTAGAACTCGCCGTTGGGATTTAGCACTTTTTCTAGAAGAAATCCTGCTATTGACTCTTGAACTGCTTTCAGATGGTCTTTTTGCATGACCATTCGTTTCAACCATCCAGTCTTGCATTTGAAATAAAAGAAAAAGTATTAATACATATATATATATATTCATTTAAAAATAAATAAAAAATTGATATATACGTACTCTGAGGACATTTTTAGGAGTTCTTCTTATGTGCGCAGTGATAAATTCATAAACGTAGTATCCACACAAGTTATTACCTGGTTGCTGCCGCAAACACCACTGTACGAGAAGAAGATTATTCTCATCATCTCACACGTAAATTGAAGTACGATATAGTAATTAAACACGTGGGGAAGTGTATATAGTACAACTTACTGGTATTTCAACTACATTAAGTGGTGTCTTGCAATCCTTGCGATGTTGCCGAATAAACTTTTTCCAAACTCTGTGCGACCAATAATGTACGATCATTAATAAATTATGACAAAGTCTATTCAATAATAGTTGTGCGCGAGAGATCGAAATTACCCCTGAATAATGTATATCATATCTTGGTATAGTGCCCGCTCTTTTCTCAACAAGTCAAAGATTACTAACCGACTTGAGTTTAACTCAATGACAATGAGTATCCAGTGAAACCTGCATTGATTTATACACACACGTACATGCATATAAGTTGTATTGATATTACATAAAATGTGTAGACTACATTATTATTAACACTTACTCAAAGTTGTACGGGAAAAGTATTGTTGTCTTGTCGTGCTGCTTCACGAAGAACATCATGATATTCTTCTGTGCTTCAGATACCCACCGCTCCTTAACAATAATACCAGTTTTGAATACGATATAAGGATCAATGAAGCCAACACTGATGTCTTGTATTCTTTGGAGCTCTGACATCTGGAATCTGTATATAAATATAAGTTACATGTGAGGATAATTATATACGCGTACGCATGGAAGTGAGTTTATTAAATAAAAGTAAGAATCACTTACAAACAAAAGAAGACTCATTGAGCTTGAATATTCCTTTAAATTCTTACATAGGGCACATGGACAGCACATGAAACCATCCCGCTTATTTGCCTCGGCCACACCTAAGAAATAGTGCAAGCTCTCAATAAAGTCTTGGGAGCGGTGATCGGCATTGTACATCCAATGGCGTGACATAATCTGTATTATACGACAAATTATGAAAACCTTGAACATAATTAAGTATTTTATTACACAACATAGATGACACACACGGTTGATTAATTAACTAAGTCTGGCTACAACGTAAGCAATCCCAACTATCACTAAACAAACTAAAACTACAATGCACTTCAGTAACATAATTATTTCGTGATCGTACGCAACTAAAATAGACAAATCATTCTTCTATTGAATATCAATAAGCTTCTCCTGCTGGCTCACTGCCTCATCAGCAGCAGCCGAATTCTGCACGTATGTAGCATAATCTTCCTCCCAGCACCAACCATCGCATCCATTGCCCTCCCACTGAAATTAAAGCCAAAAAATATTTAGTCAAAAATATTCAAGAAAAGCAGGTCAATTAGCCATAATAATCAAATGCGTAAGAAACTCACATCACGATTCGGGCACTTGTAGAAAACACGACCCTTGTTGGGTCCCTATCTCTTGACTCGGTACTCCATCACAATCTTCTGCTTACACTTGCCGCAGATAATGAGAGGGAGTTCTGGCCTCAGTCATTTCGCAACCGAACGAGAGGCCGAGGATCCGGTACCAGTTGTTATCTACTTTCTATACATATTTTTGCAAACTACTGTAAATTTCACATTTTCTAAAATAATATATTTAAACAAAACTAAAATTATTTATTCATCTAACTAAACCATGAAATATGTACTATGTATAATAGTAAAATACCAAACTATCAAGTGATTTTACTATTGTAAATCATTATGTGATTTTGAGCTAAAAATGACATAGAAATCACATAGCTCAAAAACATATTTCAATAAATAACCATCTGTACTAGTTGACCTTGCTTACGTGATCATCTCGGCGAGCATTTCTCCACCGGACGGCACCGTACTTGGCCAAGGAAGAGCTCCGATTCTACGAGGAAGAGAACACGGTCTTCCACGACCGTTGCCGCTCTCCCTCGTAGAATCAAAGCTCCTCATTGCTCCGTTACCGCTCGACAGAGAAAATGCTCGCCGAGATGATCACGGTCCGCAAGTTCAACTAGTACGGATTTTCTACAATTTTCTAACTATTTTCTAAGTTTTTCATTTCATAGAAAAATTAATTCTAAGATCACGTAAGCCGCCGGGGACGAGGATGGCGCGTGCTCCGGCGAGGACGAGCGAGGCGTGATTTTGATGAACTAATTTAACTTTTGTTTATCCAAACATATATGCAAATCATCATGTGATTTTGAGCTAAAAATGACATATAAAATCATAATAAAGTCCAATATATAAAGTTACACATGCATCTGCATCGCAAAATGAGATAAGCTACTGATAAAACATAAGAGGATTAAGTTTGTTACCTCCAAAATCGAAGAGCAACACCAATGGAGGGGGAGAGAGCAAGAACAACAGCAAGCTGAAGAACAGAGGCAGTGAGTTTGAATGGAATGGCTCGGGCTCGGGGAGGAAGAAATGAGCCGGTGTATAGGCCGGCATAATTAGTCCCGGTTAGGTGGCCAAACCGGGACTAAAAATTAATATTTATTCCTGGGGTATCATCTAAACCGGGACTAGGCTGGTATTACCAACCGGGACTAAAGGTTTACCTTTAGTCCCGGTTGATAATACCAGCCGGGACTAAAGATCCCTGCCACGCGGACGATCGTTGGGCAGGGACCTTTAGTCCCGGTTGGTATTACGAACCGGGACTAAAGGGTCCTTTAGTCCCGGCGACAAAAAAATGTCGAGGCTAATGTCAAATTGGGACATCGTTCTAAAGTCTGTTATCTAGTAGTGTGTTGTCAGTTGTCACGCATCCTGTATGCCCATGCCAGCATCAAGCTAAGCATGCATATTATCATATACACTCTCTGTCTCTCTCATGTGCACAAATACTGGACTCCATGAATACATACAAACAGGGGCACTGTATATACATGCATCACGCATGCATATGACATTACTTGTGCACAATAATACCGGACAAATGGTTTGTAGGGTTTGGGAGACTTCACCTCGTCCAAAAGATTCAGATAAGAGCATAGTATGTTTCTTTCAAAGCAATGTCCTATCTTGAAGCTTCACATGTGCCACACTGAGAATTTAGGGTCAGCTGCTACTTTAAAGGTACAGATACGGATGCGACACAATATCGGAAGGATATATAGATTGAAAAATGAAAACTTAGCACTGACATCAGTTCAATTCCTGAAGTGTTTGCACAAAAGCTTGAAGAGCCATGAAAATCAGGGTTAAGTAAAACAAAAGGGAAGAAGATGGTGCCACCTTTAGTTTTCAGGCGACGTTGTTGAAGTGCATCTTCTTGCCGGCAGGGCCCATCTTGACCAGCTTCCAGATGATGGCAGCCAATGTGGGTGGAACTGGGAGTGGGGAGGAGGTACCCAGGGACACCAGTCGCCATGCCTCACAGGCCAGCTCGGTCTACCTGCAGGAGAGATTACTCCTCTACTAGCTTCTGTCTTCTACAACCCCCCACCCCCGGCGCTATAGGCCTGGTCGAGGTGGAAGAAAGAGAGCGGGGAGCGAAGTCACCACCAAAACACACCATCTCGCCTGTAGTGACCTCTGCAGGCTACAACGGCCACCAAGGGTCGGAGCAACAAGGAGGTGCCCCTAGGGCAACCACTTCATGGGCTCACCTCACTTTTTGTGCGTAGAAAATAGAGTACACGGGTTTGGCTGACTGTGTCAGTCGCACGTAGCCCCTCCAGCCGTGTGATAGCCTGTTTTGAGTCATCGCGACAGAGCGGCCACGCGTCACCTAGCCATTCGCAGGTAGCGGCAGAGGTGCTCGCTGAACTCCAATCCTCTCGCGAATAGAGATTTATATATTTCTCTCACAGTTACTATATGTGTGTTGAATTTCGCCAAGTATATATTGTGAAGTAGGAGTGCAAAATAGTGTGAGGAATTGGGCATTATTGGGAAGAACAATAAGTTTGATTGGGATGTCATTCGTGGCTATGCAGACTGCCTAAGAGCAACTCCAGCAATAGCCCCAAAACAGAGCCCCTACTTTTTATTTGGGTGCTCCCTCAACTTTTGTTGGCCCTGTTTTCTAGGTTGAACTCCAGCAGGAGCCCCAAATCAAAGCCCCTATCTTAATTCCTCT